TCTCATGGTTGGTACCCACAAACTGTGATAATAAATAAGTAAATAAACAGCAAACAAAGCCTCTTCTCCATTAAGTTGATTCTTGTTAGGTAAACACCTAACAAGTGCTCCAGTCAAAGCAATAAGGGAAGTAATAGATACAACATCAGATTAGCAAAAACCACCGAAGCTCCTAACGTCGCTTCTGAGTTTGCGTTCTTATATCTATCTGAGACCAGATGTATGTTTCAAACCCCAGAGAACCTGGAGATCAGTGTTGATATTAGATCCTCTGCCTAACCATCAGCAAAGATCAAAACACATGGTAACTGATAAGATGTACTGCTTGGAGGGGTCCCCACACCCAATCTGTCTTGGGCTAAATGAACACCCAGGAGATGTGTGGATGTGCTTAAGACAGGGGTGGGGTGCTGGAGAGATGGCTCAGTAGTTAAGAGTCCTTGCTGCTCTTGCAGGGGACTGGAGTTCAGTTCTCAGGACCCATGTCAGGTGTCTTACAATCACTTGTGACTCTAGCTCCAGAGGATCCAATACCCTCTTCTGGCCTCTGGGGGCACCTGCACTTGTACACATACACACAGATACATGCACATCATTATAAATAAAATAAATAAAAAACAGGCAAGAGTGGGGAAAAAAAGACATAATATGATCACAAGGGTGGAGTTTATTCCTTGAGAATAGACCTTCTCTACCTTTAAAAAAGCTTTTTATGCTGGTCATAGTGGCACGTACCTTTAATCCCAACACTCAGGAGGCACAGGCAGGCAGATCTCTGTGAGTTTAAGACCAGTCTGGTATACATAGTGAGTTCTAGGTCAGCCAGGGCCTAGAAAACTTATTTTTAATTTTTAAAATTTATATATATATATATAAAATATGAGTGCTTTATGTATCTAAATGCACCACATGTGTGCAATGCATGTGGAAACCAGAAGAGGGTGTTGGATCCCCTAGAACTGGAGGTAGAGACAATTGTGAGCCAACATGTGGGTGCTGGGAACTGTACTCTGAGTCATTTCTCCAGTTCTATTAACTGCTGAGTCATCTGTCCAGTGACTGACCCCCTCCCCACCCATGTCCCTGAATTTTTTGACTAATATCATTTCTCCTTCATCCCCAGTCCTGAGGAATTACCATTTTGCTCTTTGTTTCTAGGTTTGTTTGTCCTTTATTTAGTATGGGGGCAGAGGCCAGAGGAGTCTGTCAGGTGTCCTGCTCTATCTCTTCATTGGGTCTCTCACTGTTCCTGCCTCAGCCCCACACAGTGCTGTGTACACCTGGCTTTTTATGTGGGTGCTGGAGATTCAAACTCAGCTCCTCATGTTTGGGCACCAAAGGCTCTTACCCATGGGCCCATCTCCGTATCTACTCAGTTTATTGGTCATTTGTTAATTAATTAATTAATTAATTAATTAAATTTATTGTATGACCATGAGTGTTTTGCCTGTGTGTATGTAAGTGCACTAGCGTCATGCAATGCACTAGAGGCCATAAGAAGGCATCAGATCCCCTGGAACTGGGGATCTGGGAACCCAAACTGGTTCCTTGGAAGAGTAACCAGTGCTCTTAACCCCTAAGCCATCTCTCCAGACCCCACTCAGTTCATTTCTCACCCCTTATTTTACAGCAGAGCTTGAGGATGCAAGGGTGTGGACCTGCCATCACATAGCCAGAGTGTAGCAGGGTGGGGAGAACTTCAAGGGGCAGGGTGGTACACATTCAGGAAAAGCTAGCCCCAGATTCAAACAGGCAGGCAGGAAGGCCATGAGGTGGATGTGCTCAAGATCAAGTCCCTGTTGGGAGGTCACAGGATTGGCCTCCTGGTGTTTCTTCCTCTTTGGACAGGAAGGGAGGTCACCAACTGGGTGAGTCTTGGGTGGAGGCTGGAGGTCATCATTTCTGGAATCCAGGATGGAGATGCGTGAAATCAGCTTCTGGGATGAGGGATGGTGTGTGGTTAACTCTGAGGTTTCTTGAGTGGAGGTGCTGAATTTCACATTTCCTAGGTAACTGGAAGCTGTTCTTTGTGGGCTTCCTATGACTTGGTCCATAGGTTGAAGGCTGGGAGATGCAATGGTTAGGGACATAGGCTGTGATGTCTGACTATCAGCTTGCCGGGGTGTCCTCTGAAAGTACAGGTTGAGGAGTTGGAATGTGAGATGTTTATTACGGTAAAAACAAGTGTTGGGAGGATTTGGGGAAACTGGAAATCTTGGGCATGTGGGAGGAGCTGTCCTTCCTATCTGCTCACCTCCCTTAAAATAACTATAGCCCCTTTCTAATCTCCTGGCTGCTACACATTCTCCAAGTTAAACATATGAAACTGGGGTTGGCTCAGTGATTAAGAGCACTGGGTGCTTTTGCAGAGGACCTGTGTATGGTTCCCAGCACCCAAATGGCAGCTAACAACCTATTGTAACTCTAGCTTCAGGGAATCTGATGCCCTTTACTGGCTTCTACAAGCATTGCACGCATGGATGCACTTACATACATGAAGCAAAACACATATACATACCAAATAAAAATAAATTTAAAAATGAAAAGAAACTTTCAAAACAAAATCCACATGAAACTAAAGGTTTCAAGGTAGAATTCACAGATAAAAGAGGGTCACCTAACTCAAAATGGTTATTTCCAGAATGATTATTTTATTTTCTATTTTACCTGAAATTTTCATAATTTCCCCTTTCTTTATAGCTGAATAATATTCCACTGTGCAAATGCACCACATTTTCATTATGCACTCATCATGTGATAGACACCTAGGCTCTTTCCATTTTGTGGCTATTGTGACCAGAGCAGCAATGAACATGGGTAAACAAGTCTCTCTCTAGTCAGATTGTCCTAGTTTGATTTCTATTGCTGTGGTAAAATAGTGACCAAAACCAACTTGGGGAGGAAAGGGTTTATTTGGCTTATGCATCCTGATCACAGTTCATCACAGAACTCAAGGCAGGAACCTGGAGGCAGGAACTGACAGACTGTGGAGGAATACTGTTTCCTGGTTTGCTCCTCTGGCCTGTGCACAGTCTGCTTTCTTATATAACCCAGAACCACTTGTGTAGGGCTGTACCACCTACTATGGGCTGGGCCCTCCCACATCATTCCACAATCAAGAAAAGGCCTCACAGACAAGCCCACAAGCCAGTCTATAGAGTAAATTCCCCAACTGCATTTCCCTTTTCCCAGGCTATAGAGTTCTTTGTGTGCATGCCCAGGAATGATATGGCTGGATCACGTGGTAGATCTAGTCCTAGTTTTTCGAGGACCCTCCTCACTGAATTCCATACAGGTTGCAGCAGTTGGCCTCCCACCAGCACTGTTTCCCTTTCCTTACTTCATTATCAGTATTTGTATTCTCCCTTTAATTTTCATTTATTTTTATTATATGTGTACGAATGCTTCTTTACCTGCATGTATGTAAGTGCAGCCATGTTGGACAATGTCTGCAGAGGCCAAAAGAGGGTGTTGGATTCCCAGGAACTGCAATTACAGACAGTTGTTAGCCACCATGTGGGTGCTGGCAACTGAACCTGGGTCCTCTGCAAGAGCAGCCAGTGCTCTTAACTGCTGAGCCAGCTCTCCAGCCCCCAGTATTTGTCTTCTTGATGATGGCCGTTTCTGATTAGCGCGAGGTAGACTCTCAAGACTGTTTCAGTTTGTATTTCCCTACTTAGAGGCAGAATGAAAACAAAAAGATATATTTTATGAGTTTTGAGGTTTTCTTTTCTTTTTTCCACCTGGTAGTGGCAGCTTTAGTGTTAAAGAAGTGTAGGAGAGGACGCCACACTTCGTCTGCCCACTACATAAACACAGCAGAACAAGGTCTCTAGCGATATGCCACAGGGCTCTCCCAGGGCCCTCCTGTGCTCATAATGTTTTTACTATTTATTATCAGATCTCTTTGTTTAATTTTGTTCACCACCCTCCTTGCTGTCTACAGTTATCTTTATAGCTTCCCCCTGCACACAAGTTTATTGCCCGTTTTCCACACTTAGCAGGTCAACACGGCAAACAAGAGTAGGAATCCTGTTGTCTGTATTTAAAGCCTCATGCTCCAGGTGGCAGTCAGAATAATGGTTTCTCTTCTAGACATGACATGGCTGTTGGACTCATCAGCTCACATGGTGGTGCCTGCACAAGACCAAGCCAGGCAACATTTCAACATGAATCGGGGAGGGGCTCTGAGGTCCCACACCCATGCCCATATGGACAGACTAACTGATCTTAGGAGGTTATTAGTAATAATTTAAATAGAAAAGTACATAAAATTGGGAGAGAGAATTGGTGGAGGGTACTGGGGGGGGAGTTGGAGATGCTGTGCCTTAAAAAATAATTAATGCCCCCCCAGAGATGCCATGTCTTAATCCATTTGGTTTGTAAGTGTACCAAGTACACCTTGATCAACTCGACAGGACCTAGAATCACCTAGGACAAGCCTCTCTGGGTATGTCTCTGAGGGATTATCTTGCTTAAGTTCACTGAGGTAGGAAGACCCACCATACCTGAGGGCAGGACCATTCCCTGGACTTGAGTCTTGGATTTCATAAGAAGGAGAAAGTGAGCTGAGCACCAACGTTTGTTCCTGAGCAGCAGGTGCAACATGACTGCTGCCTCATGTTCCCACTGCCATGACTTCCCACATGATGGACGGCATCTTCCAAGTGTGATCCAAATGAACCCTTCCCACCTTAAATTGCTTTTGTCAGATATTTTATTGAAGCAGTGAGAAAATATTCCTGACAAAGGAGAGCTAAGGCTGTAAATCTGTTAATCAATGAGAGGATTCCGAGGTGGACCATCAGTGGGCATGATAGTAGACTGTCAACTTGACGGGATGTCTAGGCATCTCTGTGAGGAGTTAATTAGTTTAGGATAGACCTGAGCGCGCCAGTGAGGGATCATCCATATTGGACTAATTGAGGTGGGAAGAAGCACTCTGTATTAGTAGTTTTTCTGTTGCTTGATAAAAATCACATGACCAAGAGCAACTTAAGGGAGAAAAGGTTTATTTTGGCTTATGATTCCCGAGGGATAGAGCTCATCACAGCAGGTAAGGTACGGCCTGAAGAGCAGGAAGCTGGTTCTCACATTTCATCTGTACATAGGAAGCTGAGAAAGAAAGAACAGGAAGTAGGGTGAGGCTATAAACACCCTTTTAGAAAAAGATTTTATTTTTCTATTTTATGTGTATGAGTGTTTTGTTTGCATATATGTAAGTGCAACCATGCATGCAATGCTCAAGGAGGCCAGAAGTGGGCGTCAGATCTCCTGGAACTGGAGTTACAGATGGTTGTTAGTCACCATGTGGGTGCTGGAACCCAAACCTGGGTCTTCTGCAAGACCAGCCAGTGCTCTTAATCACTGAGCTGTCTCTCCAGCCCTGAGGCTATAAACCTTTAAAGCCCACCCCTGGTGATGTACTTCCTTCAGTAAGGCTATACCTGCTCAAGGTTCCGAAGCCTCCCCTAACACCACCACCAACTACGGACCAAGTATTCAAAGACATGAGTCTATATTGGACGTTCCTCATTCAAACCACAACACTATTGTACCAAGTAAAAAAGAGAAAGTGGGTGGAACACCAGGATTCAGCTCTTCCTCTTCTTCCTTACTGCTGATGCAATGTGACCACCTGCCTCACACTCCCATTCCACCATGATGGAATGATCCCTACAACTATAAGCCAGAATAAACTCTTCCTGCCATAGGTTGCTTTTGTTAGAAATTTTGTCACAGTAATGAGACAAGTAAAACACAGGGATTCTCAGATGTAGGATGTGCAGGCAGGAGATAGAAGGCCAGTGTGTCGGTGATGGGAGAAAGATTTGGCCTGATTCTGCTGGTTTCGAACATGGAGCATTGACCCCACATGCCAAGGGATGCAGGCGTTACAGAGTTTGAAACCACTGGAAAAAGACCATCACACCCAACTCAAATTTTAGTTGGTCAAATTTATCAGGGCTATAGCCATCCGTGGTCCCTAAGTCAGATTCAGGACCCATGGTCCCAAGGGGAGGGTGAAACTAACTTATAAAGGCAAGAACCACAAAATGCTCAAATGTGCCATCCCAGTGCTCAGTGTGCCATAGCAGTGCACCAATGTGTCATCACACAAATACTGTAGGAATTTCATTACACCTAATGCCAGGTGGTCCTGAGAGGGTAAGGTCAGGACGGCCTAAATTAGCAGATAAGCAAACTACAGAAGCTAGAACAAGCTTGTGTTAGTCCTTCTCTTAACGGATGTCTAGAGACCTTGACAGTAAGGCTTATTTAGGCTTCTTGGCTAGGCAAGAAGCACAGCTGCAGTGGCTGGGAGGTGACCAAGGTCAGCTACTCCAAAGAAAGCACTCTTCTAAGGGGAAGCAACTAAGTTCAGGTGCTTAACCTTGAAGCTGCTGTTTTTCTAGCTTTTGAAGTTTAAAGTGGCTGCTTTATACAAAATGAAGTTACTTTGGCTATTACAATTTGGGGGACTCCATTTGGGGCCATTACACAGGCAGCTCAAGAGGTTGGAGAGTGTCTCTTCCAGGTGGCTCAGTGGGTCTTGAACCCCTGGGTCTTGAGCCTCTTCCTGTCATCTGGTCTCTTTTTCCAGGCAGCTTGGCTGGTCTAAGAGTGTCTTTCGAAGCCCTTACTGCCTATATATGCTTGGGGAGGGAGGGTGCTAGTGAATCTAGTCAGTTTCAGGGACTTCCTGAAGCTTTTGAGTTGTTTTCTTCCTGAGTTTAAGGAGTTTCCTCTCAGGATGGAATGTTTCACCCCCTCTTAGAACATCCTGTGAATCACATGCTTTGACTATGTTAACCAGCAATGCCCCCTCCTGCCCCTCTGCTTCCCGCTAGTCCTCTTCACACTCCCTTCTCCATTTCATGATGCGCCATGTCATATTATATCATTCATAAACACACATACATATATGTAATCCAGGTTCTACACAGAAATCAGATGTCTTAATTTTGTGAGCTGTCACCCATACTGGAGTGGGCTTTTGGTGATACAGCTGTCTTTGAGTCATTTCTGCTCCTGTAAGTAAGCCCTCATACATACATAAGTAACCCCACTTGGTTCACCAAGTTGGACTTAGGTGCTATCCTTTTTTGTCCTGTCACTGGTTCCCTATCTGGAGTGAGGGGACATTTGTTCACATCACCCCAGGGACAGTGTCACAATAACGGAGCCACATGTGGCGCACTGTGGTCGGCACATCACAGCACACTACAGAGGTTCTATGAGGTTATGATAAAAGTGAATTTTTTTTAATCACGTAGGGATGTGTAACCACCATAATGTCATAGCAAAATGTGTTTCTGACATGTGACATTAGTGCAAGAAACATGCTACCTGGAGAGCTATATGAAAGCATGACACACAGAGCCAACAATGCTGATGTATGCTTGGTGTCCCAGCAACTTAGGAAGCTGAGGCAGGAGGATGGAAGTTCAAGGTCTGCTCAGTGGTAGAGCTCCTCCCTAGAATCCCCCAGTGAGGGGCTAGGGTGTGGCTCAGAGGTAGAGTGACAGCCTAGAACCCCCAGGGAGGGGCTGGGGGTGTGGCTCAGAGGGAGAGTGGCAGCCTAGAATCTCCAGTGAGGCCTGGGGGCGTGGCCCAGGGGTAGAGTGACAGCCTAGAATCCCCAGTGAGGGGCTGGGGGCGTGGCTCAGGGTAGAGTGACAGCCTAGAATCCCCAGTGATGGGCTGGGGGCATGGCTCAGGGTATAGCGACAGCCCAGAATCCTCAGTGAGGGGCTGGGGGCGTGGCCCAGAGATAGAGTGACAGCCTAGAATCCCCAGTGAGGGGCTCGGGGAGTGGCTCAGGGGTAGAATGACAGCCTAGAATCCCCCAGTGAGAGTGTGGCTCTGCTGGAGAGCACTTGTCTGGGATTGAGGCAGTCCTGGATTCAATTCCTTGTACTCAAAAAGATGTATCACATGCAGTCATGGATATTACATTGTTCTTAATCATCATAATAAATGCCTATATTACTGGTTTATGTATTTAGTGTGGTTTTTGTCACTATTTAAATGTATACTCCTATTTACACATAGCCTGTTATATCTTGCATTGTTGTGCATGATTTTAAAATTTTAAACTTTAGGCCAGGCGTGGTGGCACACACCTGTAGTCCCAGCATTTGGGAGGCAGAGGCAGGCGAATCTCTGTGAGTTCAAGGGCAGCCTGGTCTACATAGTGAGTTCCAGGACAGCTGGGGCTACAGGGAGACCCTGTCTCAAAAAGACAAAAAAAATTTTTTTTAACTTTTATTTACTATTATCTTGTGGGCACACATGTGACACAGTGCTTATATGGAATTCAGAGGCCAACTCTTAGGAGTCAGTTTACTCCTTCCACCTTGTGGGTACCAAGGATTGAACCTAGGTCATCAGGCTTGGTGGCAAGTGCCTTTATTCACTGAGTCTTCTCACTGGCCCATGTATAGGGTACCTTAAATGCATGAAGCAGCCTTGTGGTTATTGACCCACAATGTAGAGTTGTGTAAGGCACTGCAGGAGGCTCACACAATGACACAGCTGCCTAATGGTGCATTTTCCAGGTCACCTCCCTTGTTAAACAATGCATGGTTTCTTACCAGCTACTCACTTGCAATGGACTCCCGAGCACACGAGGGTCTGGAAGTTGCCCATCAGTTTTGTCAACTTTGCTTAAATTTTAATTACCCAAGCAGAGCAGAAAGATGGAATTCTTGCAGAAAGAGAAACAATGCACTTTTGTCTTTGATTAATGGTCAGAAGGATAGAATCCACGACCTCACAGATGTTAGGATGTTGTTTAGAGCACTTTTGGGTTCACAGAAAAATTGGTTAGCGACTACACGAAAATCCCTTGTTTTCTTTATTCTCCCCTTCTTTTCTTTCTTTTCATTTTTTTAAAATTATTTATTTATATTTTTATGTATATGAATGTTTTGCCTGCGTGTATACAAATGCACCATATATGTGCAATGCCCAGAGAGGTCAGAAGAGGGTGTTGGATCCCCTGGAACTGGAATTGCAGACAGTTGTTAGCCACCATGTAGGAGCTGGGAACCGCACCTGGGTCCTTTACAAGACCAGTCAGTGTTCTTAATTGCTGAGATCCTCTTTCTTTTTTTAAAGATTTATTTATTATTATTATTATTATTATTATTATTATTTTGTGTGTATGTACCAGTATAAGTTTATGTGTACTATGTGTTTGCAGGTATCTGCGGGAGGCCAGAAGAGGGTGTCATACCCCCTAGAACTGGAGTTACAGATTATTGTGAGGTGCCCTATGTGGGTGCTAGGACCAAACCTCAGTCATCTGCAAGAGCAGCAAGCTCTCTTAACTACTAAGTCATTTCTCTAACCCTCCTCTTTATTTTTCATTTCCTCCCTTCCTCTGTCCCGTCTTCCTCCCTCCCTCCCTTCCTTTTTATGTGTGTGTGCATGTGTGTGTGTGTGCGTGTGCGTGTGTGTGTGTAGATCAGAGGACAACTTTGTGGAGCTGGTTCTCTTCCCACCTTTAGTCCCATGGCACAAACTCAGGTCTCCTGGCTTGTGTAGCAAGTGCTTTTTCACACACCGAGCCACCTTGTTGGCCCATCTCTCCTTTCTACTACTACTAATACCACTATTAGAGGGGGATGTTTGCTACCGTTGATGAATCCATACTGACTTATGATTACAAACCAAAGTCCGTACAGTCCACAGCTTGACTCATTCATTCTATAGCTTAAAAACATTTTTTTTAAGACAGGGTTTTGTGTAGCCCAGGATGGCCTCAGATTCACTAGGCTCCTAAGGCTGGCTTTGAATTTCCTCCCTCCACCCCTGAAATTCTGGGATGATTTGTATGATCCGGAGAATGATCTACAATAGTCGTGCCTTCAGTTTTGAATGAGTGAGTTTGTTGAGCATGTAACGGACAATACAGAGAGAATCAGCATCAAGAAGCAGAGAGAAGCAGTGGGTAGAAAGCAAGGGCTTACAACAGCCATCAGAGATGACCGGACTGCCCAACTGAGGGAGGAAACAGGTGTGGTGGTTTGATGAGGAATGTCCCCCATAGGCTCCAAATATTTGGACACTTAGTCCCCAGTTTCTTATGGAAAAATTCTTCCAATGCT